ACTCCTCTGGGTAGTGAAGGGCGGGGTATAAATCCAATCTCTTCTTCTTCTTTTACCTCACAGGGTGTCTGTTGTGGGGAGGGGAAGGGAAAAGAGTTTGTAAGCCGCTCTGAGACTCATTTGGGTAGTGAAGGGCGGGGTATAAATCCAATCTCTTCTTCTTCTTCTTTTCCTGGTGCAAAAGGAAAGAGAGAGGTCCACTGGAATCACCCCAAAAGTCTACGGTGGGGATCACGAGGCCCGCACAGACAAAAGTCATGTGGGACCAGGAGGGAATTTCACCAAGATTGAGTGGAAAAGCTTGCGGGATCCACCCCACAACAAGAAACTGAATTATCTGTTCTCTGTGGTCATATATTTTAAATGTTCTCCAAGGGGCTCAAAACGTACAGATCTAGCTTCTGAAAGCCCTCTTCATGTATATGCTGTAGCCAGAGCACAAAGTCAGTTTACACACCTCAAGTATAAGGAGGGAAGTTCTCCAGGGAAAATGCCGGCTCTTTGTTGGGAAATTCCTGGAGATTTGGGGGGTGAAGCCTGTGGAGGATGTGGTCAGAGAGGGGAGGGGCCTTAACATAAGAACAAGAACATAAGAGGCGCCAATGTTGGATCAGGCCAATGGCCCATCTAGTCCAACACTCTGTGTCACACCGTGGCCAGAAATACCAGGGGCCATCAGGAGGTTGTATGGATGAAATGGAGGAGGGGAGAACGACATATGCCACACCAGGGCATTTTTGGTAGAAAAAGCCCAGCAGGAACTCATTAGCATAATAGGCCACACCCAACAGCAGGAACTCATTAGCCAATTAGGCCACACCCCTGCCAGCACAGCTCATTAGCCTATTAGGCCGCACCCCCATGTTACCAGAAGTGTGCTCATCCAGCCACACCCACCTTTTGCTTCTTATTCTGTTTACCTTGTTTGTTGTCAAAACCCAGGGCCTTTTTTTGTAGCAGGAACTTCTTTGCATATTAGGCCACACACCCCTAATGTAGCCAATCCTAATGAGTTTCTGCTGTTGGGTGTGGCCTGTTATGCTAATGAGTTCCTGCTGGGCGTGGTCAACTCGGGAGCCAGCCGGAACGCCGTTCCTGTGCGTTCCTGCCCCGAAATAGCCCTGCTTATACCAACTCTGTTGGTCTTCAAAGTGCCCCGGGACCCAGGCTTTGTTCTGCTGCTTCAGACCAACATGGCCACCCACCTGAATCTGATTATAAAGCAACATCAGAACATCCAGTTGCCTTCCTGAGCATTCAA